TCTATTCAGTTGCAAGTGCTTAAAGCTAATAAGCAAAAAGCAGATATGGATGACTCGTAAATCCAGAAAGGCCCTAGGGGCCTTAGTTGAAAATAGAATAATGACAATGTGGGACATAAACCCAGTGTCCTTAATGACAAATGCAGAATCGAAATTCATGGCTCAGAGACTGAATGAACTGTCCTTTTGTCCGGAAGGTCTGCCGGGGGGGCAAGAGTCTCTGAATGGAAACGAGAGTTTTCGGAATGGCCTGACATATCTCACTCACTTAGGTGGATGGGAGACCGCTGTCAAGTTGCAGTTACACACGCAGGTCAGCTACAAGAGAGGTGGCTTAGGTGCATGTGTATGGGTTCTGCATGACAGTGAGTGGTTTAAATGTGAACTTTCTGACGCTATAATAATTACAGCAAAAGACATGACATTTAAACAGTGCATAAAAGTATGCGAACCAAAAGATGAGCCCAGTTATTTCACTGAATCAAACATCTCAGTCTATGGATCTTCACAATCCTTTAGAGAAGGGACAGCAAAACTCAAAATTATCAGATCCACACAACCATATCACTTAATGACTCGTGAACCAAACGACGAGGATAAATCTAGGATAGAAATTCTGGATTTAACTGTTCTGTTAAATTTAACAGGAAGTTACCTGGGTATTGGAGAATGTATTCAGGGAATAAATGTTTATCTGAATAGATCAAAAGATAAATCTGATATGGCAACAGGAAATAAATTAATACAATTTAAAAAGTGGATCTCCAAAAAATTCAGTCGAGGGACAGAATAGGATGAAACGAGTTTGTCTCTGTTCTCTGTTGCAGGAAAGCATGCAGAAAGACGGGCCTGTCAGAGGGGTGAGAGAGAGCCGGAAGTGTACGGAATCACGGGTCCAGGAGACCGTGATGAGCCTAATGATAACTAGCTCTTTACTCCTAATTATAATAGGCACGATTTTTTCAGGGTTAGAGATAAAAACTCAAAGCACGGAAGAAACCCGGCATGTCTGTAAACATGTCGAGATAACGGAAGATTGGGTATGTCCAAATCAGGAAATAACTGTGAAAAATAAAACCTACAATAGTAGTGATTTTGAAGCAATGGTAAAGTCGTATATTAGAAATATAGACGACAGATTTTGGGTATGTAATCATTCTAACCCAATAGCTTTATTTATACCATCGAAATATAATGGTCTAATGAATAATAAAGTAAAATTTAAATGGGATAGTCTTATAGTTATAAATGAATCCCATGTAAGACTGATTGGGCTTGAAATCCTAAATAAAAATCAGACAGTATGGACTAATGAAAGTAGCCTAAGCGTCTGGAATTTGGAATTAGGAGTTGAATTAAGCAAATCAGTAGGACATTGTTGGCAGAATTTGACAAATGCTAAACAATGGATAATGACCGACTCCATTTCTGCACCCAGAAATGATAAAATACTTAGAGGCCTACATGGCGGCCGAATCAGTAAAGTTGGGTTATTATCGGAAACAGGCAATGAGACGTCTAGGAATCGCAGATTAACAAATTGGTTAATGGCGGGAGCTAAAGGACATGTGACTTATTGGCCTGATGGTTTGAATAGTACTCACCTAATATTAGGTGTTTATAAAGAAAAACCAGTAATTCCTTATGAGGAAATAGATTGGGTAACATGTAAACAACATCAAACCCAAGGTAAATATTGTGATAGCGAGAAGGCATGTATTCATAAATTGGGTATGAGACCTTTTAGCTCTAACGGGGCTAAATTTCTCATCCGGAAATATGGTGGATTGAAACCAGATTCATGGGCATCCCTTTTCCAACACAATATGGTAAAATATTGTACGGATTTGACTAAAGCAGAATACTGGTATTGCTATATAACCGGTCAGTCACTTTATGATCAAAATCTAATGGATCAATATGAAAGCGAAATATTTGACAAGTGGAAAGCTTATGTCAGATATATGGGCATTCGAGAAGAAAGAGTCTTAAATGAAACCTGTGAAACAATAAAATGTTTTATAGACAGTCATTGGATCGACAATCGAGGAATACATCCGTTAATGTTAGATAGTAGTCACGGTGTACCTGAATCAGTGGCTAATAAGAGTGGCTTAACGGACTTTATTAAATCGATTCCAGATCAACAATATAGAATGGCCCTAGCTTTGTATGTATACAAATGGGATATGCTCACGCGCGCAGAATATAAAACTAGACCAAGCCCGGTTCATATGGGACTGGTAGATAGCGTGCACGGCCTATGGCATAATAAGTTCTATATTAAATTCGATTTTAGCCATAAACTCATGGGAGCTTATCGGCATCAATTTAATAAATTGAGGTTTTTTCATCCAAATTTTAGGAAAACCATTTATACCAGAAACTTAGTTGATGTTTCCTATGAAAATAGAACTCATGATTACTGGAAAGGTGGAGCTACCTTAAACATGGGTTTTAGTGGGTTTAAATGGAATTTATATGAAAACAGTGGATTAAACAACAGTGCAAGCCTCATAGGAGCTGAATTGCAAGAATGTGATCCAGATATATTTAATAATTGGACTTATAAATATATACCGCCTTATGCTCGTCAAGGAGATGAGATAAGATTGTTTAAGGGAGAGAATAGTTTCTGCTCCTGGGAAAATTATTCCATCATAACGGAAAAAATTAGGGATAGGTGTGACAAAATTAATTGCTCCATTCCTTGGCATGCAATCTTTGTGTCAGCACTTCCCATAGTTGCAAAATATGAAAACCAGGTTAAAAAACACTGTGCGATTATAGGGCTTGAGAATTTTCATGTTAAAAGAAAATTAACAGAATTAGTTGATGATTACATAGAGGGGACGAGCCTGGGTCCAAATTGGCACTTTATGCACAATTGGATCTCAGCCTTAGACATTGTCATAGATGATGTCCCAATAATTGTCAAAATTAGAAAGACCTTGTTAAATGCAGGAGTAATAATTAGCTTGGGTGCTGGAACAGCAGTTGAAATTATTAAAAGAACCGTGATCGGATACTGGAAGTGGATCAAGTTAATTTTGATCATTATGGGATGCATTGTGGTTATTGTGCTTCTTATTAGCGTATCCCTTAAGACAGCACAGCTATGTGGTGTTCTGAGCAGTGTCTGCGGGGTCAGGCGTTATGCTCGCCTAAGGTCAAGGGTCCCAGAGTAGAGTAAAAAAACAAGTCATGGACTGTATTTAAAGGCTGCAGTCATAACAGTCTAAACGAACATTTAGTGGAAGAGACTGACTTGATTGCTCATCTCCAAAACCTCTGAAATTGGAAGAAAATGGCATCTATGAATGGAAATTACGGGAATGCTGATAACATTGTGTCGGGAACAAACCTTGCTCAGGTAAATAAATTCTAATCATTTTAAATTGTAAAGGAATAATTTATTATGATGACCCAGTAATATGGGAATAGAATGAGAGGAATAACAGTTATGATTGTTTTAATAGTCTTGCCACTGTTTAATCAATCATAACAAGATGTCAGACACATCTGGGTACGAGATACAGTGTTATCAGTAGGGTAATTTTTGGGTTTTTGTGGTTTTTTATGATTTTTGAGAAGGATTGAATTTTATTTGGACTTTTCAAAATGAATGTATATTAAACCAAGGACCAACTGTTTTCATTTGTGTAATCTATAAATTGCGTAACAATGTTAAAGCAATTGTGGGTGAAGAATGAAACAACAGAGATGTAATTGTTATAGTTATGACATTTGGGTAATTATGACATATTGATCTTTTTAGATTTCGAGAGGGGGAAGAGCAAGTGACGACAACCTGGCCTGTACCCATAGTACAAGAATGTGCAAAATTTATTACCACAACAATGGAAGGGAATTTCAGTGTTGTATGAACTGTTTTGTGACCACTGATAAAAACTTTAACACGATTCATTATATTCTCTGTTGGAATGAAGGCCAATTACAGCCGTTGTTATCAAAATTAATGACTGCCAGAGGGCAATTAGAGAAAAGTTATTCAATCTTTGGTTAATTGGCATGGATGGATGGGCCGTTCAACTCCAACAGTGTATATATAAATCGAGTGTGTTAGATGAATTGGATAATGATTATTTTGTGTCTCAACTACACATGGCAAGAGGGGATGTAATGGCTGGTTCTAATGAAACGACTAGTGCCATGATTAACGTGAGACCACGAAAATATAAGCGTAAACCTTTCCTATATTCTGAAATCCCCATACTCCAGAGTTCAACAGTATCTGATGCAGCTAAGTGTAAGCGTAAAGCACGGCGTGACCAGAAGAAGGCTCGGAAGACAAGTGAATGGAAAGGGAGGGGGACCGCTCCTCTCTGCAGCTCAAGGCACACTGCTTCTGACCCCTTACCCTCTGAATGCTCTCGCCTCTCGCAGCTGCAGCTAACTTTGGAAAGCGACATTACAAGTGCACACGGGGAAACCCACTAAGAATGTGTATCAGGATTTGCATCTGATAATGCTACATGGAATGTTGAAGAATGCTTTTAACCTGTCAACTGTATGCATTCAGATGTTTGTGTGTGTTGATTAATGTACTAATATGTGCATATGGAACAGCTATACCTTTGTTCTCATATGACATGCCCTATAAATTTTGTTAATCCCTGAAATTCTTAACTGAATGGTTAGACCACAGTATACAGTTGGTCCTTAGAAATTTATAGCTAGTAATTTGATGTATTAGGTAGAATGCACCTTGGTGTGCGGATACTTGTGTTGTATGTGTCAAGTCCTCACTGATATATGAGGTGAAGGTATGTGCCTGACCTGGTTTTGTGAGTATAAAAGCTGAGCATTTTCTGACCAGCTTTGCGCTTCCTGACTTCTGTTCATTGAGGTTGGTTGCCCTTTGTCTCTAACGAGAGGCAAAGTAAGGATTTCTTGTTTTCTGTTTGTCTTTTGTTTGTTCTACTTTTTCACTGGATTTAATTTTATTAATAAAAGTGTATTTTATTAATTTTCTTCACTGGAGTGGACATTGACTTCATTTTCCAGAACCCATCTAAGTTACCCTGTGTGGTAAAGTATGCTCTAATTTATTCTTTTGCAAAATACGTTCTTTAAAGACGATCCTTAAACTAAACTCTGGCTAAGAAATATAGCTAAGGGAGGATCCTGATCTTAACTTTGTTTAATTAGGGTGATTAAATAAAGGGAAATCAGCACAGTTGCAGCTGGAAGGGCTGTTCTACCTGCGTTCGCGTGGGTTTCATTCGCTGTGTAAAACATATGCTAGATAAGTTGGCGGTTCGTTCCGCTGTGGCGACCCCTGATGGATAAAGGGACAAAGCTGAAGAAAAATTAATACTTGAATTTCTACGATGGAGTAAACATAAAATGTTTAATTTAACATAATTTCTGAAATATGAATGATGCAAATATCAATGTATTACAAGCAGAAAATGTGTTTAAATCAAATAGCTAGATAAACTCCCTGAGCAGGAAATCGATTGTGAACTACGTTTCCCAACGTGCACCGCGCTGACAGCTTCTTCCTCGCGACAAAAATGGCGGCTCCTTTAACACTCCTTCTGCTAGTAGCTGTTACAATAAGAGGCGTTTTATTCCGATCCAGTTTGGCAGAAATAATTTCCGAGAGGGTCGAGGTGGTGTCGCCGTTGAATGCGTGGAAACGAGGTTTGTTAATGTTTTCCTTGTGTATAAAAATGCTCTTTAGTGATGGTTTGTTCCTGCAGGAAGCCTCATTGCTGAGCTGTCAAAGACATGCATTAAACATACTGACAGCACATTTCGGTTTCGTATTAATTAAATATGGTTAAAACCAACTATTTAATGCTAATATTATTAATGACATGGTTTACAGCATAACTCTGATCTTAAATGGTCAGTATCAAAGAGAATATGGAGATTCTGAACTGCACTGCTTGTTGTCAGTATCTATTTTAAAGTACGTTGTGAATTGCATTACTGTTATCTGCTCTGAAGTAAACAGTGTGCTAAATATTGACACTTCAATTTAAATTTACAGTCCTCATTGAAGTGATGTGATTTTTGGGCGTGTTTTTAGTAGAAACACCCTTTACAGACGTCAAATTAGTTCACATCACTGCCCTGAATTATTATTGTAATGTATTGTAATTGTAAATTCACACACATTTGACTTTTATTATTATGTTGTTTATGTAAACATACTACATTGAACTGAATTAGTCAAACATTTGGAAGTATTTTTAAAAATTTGTTGATGTTTCTAAAATATTTTCCGCTTACCAAGGCTGCTTTAAAAAAAAATGTAATACTGTAAAATTCATTCAATTTTCTTTCGGCTTAGTCTCTTTACTCACCAGGGGTCGCCACAGCCCAATGAAATGCCAACTTATCCAGCATATGTTTTACCCTTCCAGCTGCAACCCAGTTCTGGGAAACACCTATACACTCTCACATTCACACACACACTCATACACTATAGCCAATTTTGATTACCCAATTCGCCTATATCACATGTTTTTGGACTGGGGTGGGAAACCAGAGCACCCGGGGGAAACCCAGACCAACACATGGAGAACATGCAAACTCCACAGAAATGCCAGCTGGCCAAGTCAGGACTTGAACCATCAACCTTTTTGCTGTGAGGCTAAAGAACTAACCACTGAGACACCATGCCACCCTCTCAAATCAACAAATTGAAATGAATTCTGATGGATACACTATTGACTTAATATATAGCTTTAGCATTGGAGGAATAAACCACAATTCAAAATATATAAAAACAGAAAGGAGTCATTTTAAATTCAAATATTTTTAAATGCATACTGATTGAATTAAAAGCAGTTTTGGTGAGATTTCGTGTTAAACCTTTGGCTGGTGGTGTTTTCTAATTACGCAAGAATCACATTAATGTTTAAATGATGTCTAACATGATTACTTTGTTGCTTGAACAGTTGTGGAGGGTCTTGCCTTGTTGGATCTGGGGGTCTCGCCTTACTCAGGAGATGTGTTTCATGAAGTAAGTTCTATATGTCTTCCATATGAACACATGTGGGATGGATCCATCCATCTTATTCTCAATTCTGTACTCAGATGTCAGCATTTAACTGTATTTTTAATGTCTTCCAGACACCCCTTATGATATACCTCTTTCATTTTTTGGTTGACTATGCAGAGATTGTTTTTATGGTAAGTCCTCCGTGCTGTTGTGTCATTTCTGTTTTCTTTTATCATTGAACCAAGCAAAAATGCTTATGCAATTTTCCTCTGCCATTTATTAGTTTGTTATCCATAATAGATTTTGTAAGTGTATAAAGATGGAAAATACTATTCACAAAGTTATTTGGACTCCTAATTAGGCCTACACGAAATCTGTACACACAGAAATCCACAGATTTACGATTTTAGCTATCTATTTACTTGTGTAAATGTGTGAAAATTTATATTTATTCAGTTTTTTTAATTAATTTCTGTAATATTATTGACAGATATAAAATTGGCTATATGATTTATTTACAATACAGTTTGTAAAGTCATGTTTTCTGTCTTTTAGTAGATATATTATATGAGAAACTTGCTTTGTGTACTAATTAAATAAACCTAATTGGATTTGCATTGTAAACATGAAATAATATTTTAAATATTTTTTTTTCATTCATTCACCGCCAACTTATCCATCAAGTTTTTATTTCATAAATTAAATTTTTAATATATGATTCTTCCAAAATTATTCTGCATAAATCCGCAGATTTTTTACTAAATTCTGCGCAGAAATAGCAGATTCCGTCTGGCCATACTTATAAGTAGGGGTGTAACGATTTATCGTTGTACGATTTATTGCGATGCTCTCAAAATCAGACGTCTGGCAACATTTCGGTTGTACAGTCATTGCTTTAGACTCGTCCGCTTTTTTAAACGCATACTGGGTCGAACATCCTAAGTTTTAAAGTCTTCACAGTGATTTACATACTTTGCACAGCGACAGGGATACCTCCTAATGGTGTCGAAAGAGTCACATACTGTATTTATAAGGTACAATTCACCCTAAAATATCATTCTGTCTTCATATAATGTTCCCACCGCAAAATCACACATGACGTGAGCTGACCATGAGCTGTTACTACACAGAGGGCGGACTTTGATAGACGCGCGCGTATGGCAAGCCGTTTTAGCATTTAAACCTTTGTTCTGACTATCCATAAATATATTTAGAGATATCTCTAATTATATTTTGACTAGTCATAATTATAATTCGACTAGTCAGAATGACAATTAGAGATATCTGCAATTACAATTGTACTAGTACGAAATCAGATTGGAGATATCTGCAAATATATTATGACTAGTCATATTCCTCCATTGACTTCCATTGAAAAATATTTGCAGATATCTCTAAATGAGTTTTGACTAGACACAATTGTAATTACAGATATCTCTAAATTAATTTAATTAAATATGAATTGCAAACCTGGAAATGTGGATTTTTTTTTTGCACACACAAAAAACGCAAGTGACCAAGCAAAGCCTTAAGCTCTTACTGTTAAATTCAATTGAATAGGAAGCTTATTTTTTTGCACCTTTACTTAAATTTTTCCTTCATTTTGTCTCTATCATTTCAATAATATTTTTAAGAAGTTTTTAAATTGTTTTATTTTCCAGAGACAGGCCTGTTTAATTTATTTTCTTATAGAAGGTTCAGTTTAACAAGTTGAAACAAAAGAAATACATAAAAAATAGTTTACTTGGTAAAATTTGCATTTCAGTTTAATTTTCAATTTTTATTCCAAATATCGAGATACATATCGAATCGTGAACATTATATCGTGATACACATCTTATCGTGAGCTGAGTGTATCGTTACACCCCTACTTATAAGCAAATGTTGAATATGCAGAAAGTGTCTTGAATCATAATTCATGAATATTTGTGAAATATTTGTAAATATTGAGTGTTTATTAGGGCTGTGCATTATGACAAAAATCTCATAGCACAATATAAGTAATTTCATATGCTGATAACAATATATATGATGGTATAGTACCACTTCAGTTAATTTAATTAACAATTGACCACATTGAATGGCGACGCAGTGGCGCAGTAGGTAGTGCTGTCGCTGAGTCGCTGGTTCGAACCTCGGCTTAGTTATCTTTTCTGTGTGGAGTTTGCATGTTCTCAATGCTATCACGGGGGTGTCCTCCGGGGGCTCCGGTTTCCCCCACAGTCCAAAGACATACAGTACAGGTGAATTGAGTAGGCTAAATTGTCTTTAGTGTATGAGTGTGTGTAAGAATGAGTGTGTGTAGAGAGATGGATTGCGGGTGGAAGGGCATCCGCTGCGTAGAAACGTGCTGGATAAGTTGGCGGTTCATTCCGCTGTGGCGACCCCGGATTAATAAAGGGACTAAGCCAACAAGAAAATGAATGAATTCATTTTCTAATTTATTTATAACCTTGGGACAAATCTTTGCTTAAGGATGTAGAAATATAAAATATATACAAAATATATAATATTAAACACTTTTTAAACACTAATGATTACAGGCCCAGCATAAGATATCTCTAAAAAAAAAAAAAAAAAGCAAAATGTAAACATTGTAGCTTTAATATTTCAACAAGCATCCCAGTAATGACATGTAATACTGCACTTATATTAATTATGAAAAAGTATTATCATAGGCAATGTATTTAACCACACCACACGAAAACCTATATATATTGCAGAATCGCTGATATCGTGATATATCAATACCGCCGTATACTAAATATCTTGATAATATCGTATCGTGAGTTAACCTGTGATTACCACCCCTATACGATACATATAGTCTCATTGCATAGCCCTGGTGTTTATTTTTTGTGCACTTTACCTCTTCACACATGTGAGCATACTTCTGTGCCCTGTCATTAGATAGCAGATGGAATCACAGCAGTGGCTCTTTATCTCTCAGTCCAGATTTATAACAAGAATGTGGTAAGTTGTAGCATTCGGTTGATATTTTTGTACATTTCAGCATATAAACCCTATTGTTTCTTTATATTCTGTTCATACTACTTTCTTATGCTGTACATAAGATGTATCTATCTTGGTGTACTTTGTAGTTTAGAAAACAGAAATATGCCTTGGAATCAGAACGGTATCCTGCTGACTGTTTGGAGCTCCTCCGCTCTCCTAAGGAGATGTTCTACATCCCGCTCAAGGTTGCCATGTTGTAAGTCTCAATCAAGCACTGCGCCCCAAATGGCTCACTATGCACTTAAGCATATGTACCAATGCATTTACACACTTAAAGCATAGTATATGAAATTAGTGTTGCTCCCTATTGAACACTAATGCTTGTTTGTTTGTGTTTTTCAAACCAGTTCACACTCAACATTTCACGGCTGCCAAATAACTTAAATCAGGGGTGTCCAGATTCATTTCTGGAGGGCTGGTGTCCTGCATATTTTAGCTCCAACTTGCTTCAACACACCTGCAAGGATGTTTCTAGACTGCCTAGTAAGAGCTTGATTAGCTAGGCCAGCTGTGTCTGATTGGGGTTGGAACTTAACTTTGCAGGACATAAGATGTATCTATCTTGGTGTATCTATGGCCCTCCAGGACTGAGTCTGGACATCCCCGAGTTAAAAAAACGGTTAAATTTTAAGTGCATTATACAAGTATTCAAAGTACACTTATGCTTTTTAAATAAAAGACAAAATGGCATAGAATAGTGCACAACCCTGCTGAAAAATCAAGCTTAAACCAGCCTAAGCTGGTTGGCTGGTTTTAGCTGGTTGACCAGCCTGGTTTTAGAGGGGTTTTGGCCATTTCCTGGCTGGTTTCTAGCCATTTCCAGCCAGGTTTTAGCTGGTCAGGCTGGAAAATGACCAGCTAAAACCGGCTTGACCAGCCAGGTTTAAGCTGGACACAGCTGGTTTTGACTGGGCTCCCTACCTGGTTAGGCTGGTAGTGCTGGTTTTAGCTGGTCATCTCCCAGGCTGGAAATAGCTGGAAACCAGCCTGGAAATGGCCAAAACCCCTCTAAAACCAGGCTGGTCAAACAGCTAAAACCAGCCAACCAGCTTATGCTGGTTTAAGCTGTTTTTTTCAGCAGGGAAGTCTGCGATTTGGGACGCCCCTTAAATATAAATAAAATGTTTGCAGTTTTCCATTTTTAATAACAAATATGTTTGTAATCATGCATTTTTATTTGGCTGATTTTCTTCTAGTTATCTGTTAAACCCGTTCACGATCCTGTCATGTGTGGCAAAGTCAACTTGTGGGCTAAACAATGCTATTATCGCGCTATTCATCCTCTGTACATTGAAAGGTGAGTGTTCCCCTAAAGATTGAGTTAGGATTGAGATTGAGAAGGGTTGAGTTATTCACTTAAACATGGGCTCAACCTCTCAGAATTTTAACTTGCCTATGTGAATTCTTCTGCTTTGCATCAAAAAGCACTTTGCTGGTAAAGTTAACTAATATATCTTTGACTGTCTAGTAATACAGCAAGCAAATTTTGGCACTGCCTTATGTGTGCAAGGATGCTATTATTTATAGTTTTTGGTCAATGATATGTCTTTGAAGGAACATTAATTCAGCAAGGACAAATTAAGTCAGTCGTATTTACTATTCAGCGTTATATGGGTGATGTAAATGCATTCTTTTGGGATTAAGGGCTTGAAAATTTAATGATGTTGCTTTGATAATAATTTGTTACTAACTAGGCACTAATTCTTAACTATTTAAATAAATAAACATTTTTGCTGTAGCATAAAATGAAAACTCTGAAGTCTAATCTGCCTAATCTGGCTTTTTTACATTTAAGATGTGAGTAAATTACATTTAAGAGAGTAAATGACAGTAATTGAATGTTGGGGTTAGGACAAACATGCCATTAAAATGTTTCTTTTGAATGCTATACTACAGAATACTATAACCAATAGCATCTGATTTAATGTATATACATGCAAATATGTAATTTGCCACACTTGGAAAGTACCTTCACACTTGGAAAGTATCATGATTATGACTGTCACAAAAAAAAATAAAAAATCAAATAAACACTTCATTCGAGAGCTAAATCCATCAAGAATCTTAAAAAGTATATATTTCCACAAAAAAAAGTAAGCTCAACTCAACATTTTTCAACATTAATTATAAGTAGTAGTAATAATAAATTAATGTTTGCTGTGTTCTTTCCTCTCAATAACACAACTATGACAGTAGTAAGAAAATAGCAGTTAAGAAAGCATCTTATTTCAGTGATAGGGAAATGTTTGTGCAAGTTCTGTAATTCATTGTCATCATGTCTAAAGATGTCAGATGAGGTCATTCAGTTGGCAGGGTTCCCACGCTTCTTGAAAGTACTTAAAAGTACTTGAATTTTAGACATCTGGATTCAAGGCCTGGAAAGTACTTGGAAACAAACATGCATGCTTGAATTAAATTTGAAATTAAATTTGTTCATTGCTTTATTTTCAAATGTTTAAAAACAGAATGGAAAAAAATGAGTTAATTTAATTCTTAAATTAAAAAAGTTCAATTGAAATCTTGTACAGTAACACTGACAAATAATGCACATTTGATACATTTTTTAGAAACTGCATTAGAATATCACCAGTATTCAACTAATTTTATTAATCTTCTTTGAACATGACTTAAAACGGTCACATGACTTAAAAACGGTTACTTAATTTAAAATTAATGGTGCTTTAGAAAGTCATTGAATCTGCTGTTCATGAAAGTGTAATGATTTGTTTATAACTTGTTCACTCATTGCTAAAAAAGACTAGTACATAAAAAGTCTAATATGTAGCCCATTTAACAACTGTTTATACTTGTAAAAAGAGTGCCATGACGTGCAGTGGCTCAGTGGTTTGTATTGTCGCCTCTCTGCAAGAAGATCGCTGGTTCGAGTCCCAGCTGGGCCAGTTGGCGTTTTTGTGTGGAGTTTGCATGTTCATCAAGTGTTGGCGTGGTTTCCTCCGGGTGCTCCGGTTTCCCCCACAGTCCAAAGACATGCGGTATAAGTGAATTATTCATTCATTCCTTTTCTAGTCGGCTTAGTCCCTTTATTAATCTGGGGTCGCCACAGCGGAATGAACCGCTGTATCCAGCAAGTTTTTACGCAGCGGATGCCCTTCCAGCCCCAACCCATCTCTGGGAAACATTCACAGACACATTCACACACACACTCATACACTACGGACACTTTAGCCTACCCAATTCACCTGCACCGCATGTCTTTGGACTGTGGGGGAAACCAGCGCACCCGGAGGAAACCCACGCAAACACAGGGAGAACATGCAAACTCCACACAGAAACGCCAACTGAGCCGAGAATCGAACCAGCGACCTTCTTGCTGTGAGGCGAACGTGCTACCCACTGCGCCACTACGTTGCCTATAAGTTAATTAAATAAACTAATTTGTCCATATCGTATATGAGTCTGTGTGTTTAGTGTATGGGTGTTCCCCATACTGGGTTGCTGCTGGAAGGGCATTCGCTGCAGAATAGTTGCACAGTGGTTCATTCCGCTGTGGTGTCCCCTGATATAGATATAGCCCTGATATAGCCAGGGGTGTCCAAACTCGGTCCTGGAGGGCCGGTGTCCTCCTTAGTTTAGCTCCTCCTTGCTTCAACACACCTGCCAGGAAGTTTCTAATACATGTGGTAAGAGCTTGATTAGTTGGTTCAGGTGTGTTTGATTAGGGTTGGAGCTAAACTCTCGAGGACACCGGCCCTCCAGGACCGAGTTTGGACACCTGACTCACAGCTGAAAAAGAATGAATGAATGAATGAATGAATGAATGAATGAATGAAAGTATGAAAGTGTGCCGTTTTAACTATAGATTTACATGTTCACTGTCTGTGGTGTTGTCTATTTTTTATTTTTCAGGTAGTGCCTTGCTAAGTGGGATATTGTTAGCTTTGGCCACATATCAGTCCATGTATCCTCTGACACTGTTTGCTCCTGCACTGCTGTTCTTCCTGCAGGTGGGAGTCTACATTCAGACTAGTGCAGATGACATGACACCTGTGTCCAAACTCAAACGTCTCTCTGTTTCTTTCAGAGATTGTATATCCCAGTGAACCTAAGGAGGAGCAGCTTCTGGTTCTTCACTCTTCAGTATGCGTTCATATATTTTGGCAGTCTGGTCGTGATCACTGGACTCTCCTTCTTCCTCTTGGGATCCTGGGACTTCATTCCTTCTGTCTATGGATTCATGTTAGTAGTCATGTCATGTCAATAGTAGGGTTGTCAGAAGTATCAAGTTCAGTACCAATCAGAACTTTACATTTTTTTAAATGTCCATTTCCTGATAGTGTTCGAGTGTTGTGTTCACATGCTCAACAGAAATGATTGGTAACATTAGTAGTTTATTCCAAATCTTCTGTACTTTTCAATTACCAACTCAAATGCACATACTATTTTTTTCCCACAGTTGAAATAAGCCAAACTACTAAAACATGTTTGCATCATATATTTACTGTGTGTGTTTCACAGACTTTCTGTTCCGGACCTCACTCCAAACATCGGACTCTTCTGGTATTTCTTCGCAGAGATGTTTGAGCACTTCCGCCTCTTCTTCATTTGCGTCTTCCAGATCAATGTCTTTTTTTACACCATCCCGCTCTCCATCAAACTCAAGTATGTGCTGCATATGGCCGAACAAGAGCGATGCATTTGTATTGCAGTCTTATGAGTAAAAATGCATTTCCACAGGGAGCATCCAGTGTTCCTCATGTTCATGCAGATTGCCATCATCTCCATCTTTAAGTCCTATCCCACTGTGGGAGATGTCGCCCTCTACATGGCCTTTTTGCCAGCCTGGAGTCACCTTTATCGATGTGAGTATCTCTTTTTATTTAATGGCTTAGTTCACCCAACCCTGTTCAAAAACGTAGTATTTGTTTGTTCTATTCACAAAAGAAGATAGAACCACAGAACCACTGACTGAATATTTGTAGTATTAGTTTTTATTTGTTCATAGTATTTGTTTTTCCTACTTAAGCCTGGTTTATACTTCTGCGTCAAGTGACCGGCGTTACCCACGGCGCATGCAATGCCCGTAGCTGTGCATTTATAATTGTGCGCGCTGTCTCTGTTGGTCTGCATTAACACTTCCGAAACGCTAGTTGGCAGTAAGGTGTTAATGCTCCTCTGTGTCGAGTTTCTTCGCTGCTGTTTTGCTTTTCCTGAACACTTCCTGGGTGTACAAGTGGCTCAAACTCGCTCATTTTGAGGCAGGAACCGGCACACGTGCAATAACTTTAACTATGAGGTAAACACAAAACAAAACTATCCATCCGGAGCTCCTTCACACGACTCCACACTTGTAAACAATCGCTCCATTGGGCTCGCGCCATTCGCGCGGCTCTCAGTCCCGCCCAGACTCGTCAGCGCTACTAAGCCGACCAATCACAGAGCTTGCGCTACGTGTTGTTGCGACGTGTAGTTACATTTTTTGAGAGGTGCACGTCAGTGATGCCGACGGCCACGGCGAAGGGCTGTGCGTCAATGCCGTAGCATACGCCGGCGTTTGACGCAGAAGTATAAATCAGCCTTAAGGATGTCAGGGGTTTCTGTTTTTTAACATTCTTTATTGTATCTTGTTTCGTGATCAACACAACAAAAAAGTCAATGTTGAATAAATAACAGAAAAAAAATTGGGGGGAGTGAACTATCCCTTTAAGTATGTAATAGATCTTCTGTTGAAACAGCCTATCAGAAGTGAAGTCCTTTTTTGACTAAATTAAAAGTTTTTTGTTTTTTTTAGAAATTAAGAAAATGAAACAAAAGGCAGATTTCATGGTTTCTTTAGATCAGGGGTGTCCAAACTAGGTCCTGAAGGGGCCGGTGCCCTGCATAGTTCAACTTCCTTCAACACACCTCCCAGGAAATTTCTAGTATACCTAGAAAGAGCTTGATTAGCTGGTTCAGGTGTGTTTAACTGGGGTTGGAACTAAAACATGCATGTCTCCCCTCCAGGACCGAGTTTAGACAACCCTGCTTTAGATGCACATAAGTGCTTAATGACAGCTTTTACATGTTCAAAAATACTCAAATGTTTGAGGTCAGGAAAATCTTTGTTTATTTATTATTAGATTTTTGTTTCAAATGGATTCTAATCATCGAAAAAAACTGTAAAATTGTTTCACAGTTTTCTCCAAAATATTAAGCTGCCGTTTTTAACCCATATTTTAAAGTAATATTAATTATTTACAACATATTAGATATATTTCAACATATTACATGTTTTTCTTTAGGAACGTGTGACACTGACAACTAGAGTAATGATGTTGAAAATTCAGCTTTTTGATATCACAGGGATAAATTAATGCAAATCGCACCATGAAGTAGGGCTTCACGATATAAAAAAAATCTCACATTGCGATATTTTGTTTTTCGGCGATATATATTGCGCTATGAACACAATTTCACCATGGCTAAAATTGGTCTTTTTGGAAGGAAATCCTTCATTAAGATTGATTGGGGTGATTTTGTAAGAGTATAAATGATGTATAAAAACTAATAATAAGCAAAATAATTACAATAGACCAAAGAAAAAAAGTCAAATAAACTGTGTTTTCCAGAGACTCAAACAGTATTGAGGTACAGAAATTCTATAGTCTTCATCGTATTGTACAAATGTACTTTTTTAAATGTGCCTTAATGCTTTAAACTCTCTTGAAATGCCTTTAAAACAAGTGCAAATTACAAAGTTTTACTCTGTTATGGTTATAACAATGGTTTGGAACGACTCCACAAATCTCATATAATCCATACTGTTGTGCTGATCAACTATAATCCCAACTCAACATTGCATATACTGCGATTTGACTATTGCGGACACTTATTGCGATATTGATGCTGAAACAATATGTAGTGCAGCCCTACCATGAGCCATAATGTACAGTGAATGTAGCACAGCTAAGATATATTTTTATGCACAGTGCAGAAAGACAAAGGTCTCAAAACTGAATGACACAAACATATCACCAACAGACCAGTTTTGTTTCTATTTCAAATGCATGGAGCTGCTTATGTAGCAACACACTGACGCAGTGGTGCAGTAATATGTATTGAGGTCACAGGTGTCATGTTTGTAGAGTCATTTACATCTGCTTTGAACCTAAACAACCAGAGTTAAGAAACAGGGGCCGGTTGCACCAGTAAGCTAAAACTTCTGGGCTTAGTTTTAGTTAAGCACCACTGGGCTTAGTTTAAATGTAACGCTACATTCCAACTAAATATCATACGGCATTAATACACTTGTATCAGTAGCCCAAAGCACTATTTGCAAATGACTTAAATGCATCAAGCTGGACGTGTGGAATTCTGTGAATGATTCAAATTCAAATTCTCTAGTAGTCCATTCAGAGGAATTCTGTGAGCATAGATTCCATATAAACCTTCATGCTTAACCATCCTGTTTTTGTGCAGATAAAGTTAGCTGAAATCTCCTACACCACAGGTGTCAAAGCCAGTTCCTGGAGGGCTGAGCTCTGCGCAGTTTAGTATTAACCCTAATTAAACTCACCTGATCAGACTAATTGAGTCCTTCATGCTTGTTTGAAACCTACAGGCATAGCCAGCCCTCCCTATAATTGAACTAAGTGGCTGCTTAGGGCCCCGCCGTCACTAGTGGGGCCCCTCAACCCGCTAGTGGTGCGAGCCACTTCCTTACTGAAATCATTTTTATTTGCATTTTACAAATGATCTGAACTGTGCAGAGCTGCGGCCCTCCAGGAACTGGCTTTGACACCTGTGTCCTACACTGTAAAAAAAATGCTGGGTCCCAAACAGCATGTTGTCCCAACACCAGGGGTGGACTGCACATCTGGCAATTCTGGCAAATGCCAGAAGGGCCGGTCCAATTTTTAAAAAAAAATTTTTATGTATTGTTTTTAAGTGCAGACAGCTTTTATCTCTTGCTAGATGTGATATTATGATGATGATAATAAAAATAATAATAATAATAATGAATAAAAATGTTAAGCATTTGGCCCAATCGGCAATTGCTGCCTGGTTTCAAGATGGTCCGACCCAATCCAAGGTTACCCGGACATAATCAAAATCTGGCAAGAATGTCATGTTATTTCACCATTTGTACACCAAAATAAATAGTGAATGTGCGTGTCCGTGGGTGGGGCTGTGTTAATGTGGTAATTTGTGTCGGTGTGGTAATTTGTGTGGCTACAGTGCCAGGGCTGAATTTTTGTCCCAGTCCGCCCATGCCCAACACAAATCGATTAAGTTAATGTCTGCGTTTTTTACAAATTTATGTGGATTTTTGCCAAAAAAAACCTTAAGAATTCATTTTTAAAAAACTTTTTTTAAGAAATTAAGTTCTTTTGAGTTTGGTTGACTTGCTTGATCTGGAATTTGCTTTTCAGTGCTTGAACTTTCAGCAGTGAAAATTAAAACAACACTGAACTGAAC